TTTCCCTGAGATTCCGTGTTTTCTCGAACAGCGAGGTTGTGCACAGATTGTTGAATTCCACCTGAGCACATTCCACAACAGGACTGTCGAAAACCGCCAACCAATACAGTGTGGAGGCCTTGAACGCTGACCATCCGATCAAACTGGGCTCACTGGCCACCTGCACAAAGGAAATCATGCCTTGTATGGACGTAATACACTACTCATAAGGTTGATAAAAGCTATTGAACAGCCTACCTCCGGTTTAGGCCTGCTTCGGACTCACACTTCTCGTCTGTTTGAACACAGATTGCACGAAAGTCGACTTATACACTCATTTGCCCCCCAATTCGGTTTTGACTGGAGACTCACCTGAACCGAACTGAATCTTTTGTTTGTGATATTCTGAATTAACCGTCTCATGTCCCATTTGTTAGGTAGCTTGAAATATAACAATATTTCGATGTCTAGAGTTCCGAGAAGAGCGGAACCAGTTATGGGCTCTCGGAGAGATTTCAGCAACCTTATGAGTAGTGTATCACGTCCAGACAACAATGGGCAGTTGTGCATCTGGGTGGAGCATAGAAGTTTGGTCGAAATTCGACGAACAACAATGCGAAATCACAGGCATCGGAGGGCACGTGATGCCCTGTGGAGCTTGAAGCTTCACTGGCAAGTTTTCTCCACTGACAGTATTCAGGACTGGTGTTTTGTGCTCGCTGCCACGCTGCTATCGGATCAAGAGCTTCTCGGTTCCCGAGTGAAACCGCTCCTAGGACTACAGTCAAAGTCTCCTTCATGTTTTGTGGCAAGTGACAACAGTCTGACAGTATTTTCAACATTCTTTTACTCTCTCGAACGAGACACTCATCTGGGTTCCAAGCGAGTCTCCGCCAAAACAAAATTTGGTATGCAGATAAGTGTGTAAGTAGTAAATGACGCCTTCATCGTGGTATTTGCTAGTAAAAGCAGACTGGCCATTTTGGCGGCAGGAGTTTTACAAACAGCGGACCTGAGTTGCTGAAATTGCCTGCTGGGAAGCTGTGGAACCGATTTTCGAAGGAAGACCGATGCCTGCCTTAGCCAATCATTGACCTGACGGCATCAGAATCATGCAGAAGCTATTCAAGGGTACAAAGGGATGGTACTTTTGGAGACTGACGTTTGCGAAAGCAGGTTGTTCATCGTATAAAGGGGAAGAGGTGGAAGGGACCTAGAAATTTCAGCCAGACGGTATCGAAAATAGAGACATGTTTATTAGACAACTGGTAGGGTGCTTGCTTGTGTGCGAGGGTATGGAAGGCGAAGGATTGTGGCATATCACTCGTCGAGCAACTGAAGCATTCTCAAGGGCAACGTGAAATTCACTAACCTCCAGTTTTATTCGAGTTCAGACAACACTCTGTAGTTGGAGTTATCGCATGAATGATGGCTCAGTCAAACGTTTTTACGAAAGACTTTGCCAAGTCATATCATCTTCACACTAATTTGGTTTTAGAGGACACTCAGCTGATGTACTACTCATAAGGTCGCTGAGAGTCCATCGACAGCCCACGACATGTTTCGCCCTTTTTTGGGGGCAAAACTTTTGGATACATGAGGACTTTTGAACACCTCGCGAGCAGTTTTTCGATCGGTGCCGTTAAATTTTTCAAGATGGTTCAGACTATTGATTAGGCCGCCAAAGTTTAGGCCCAAATGTTGTCCTCTCTCCAGCTAAGATAACACCAGAAATTTAGGCTACAATAGGCCGGAAACTACGTGCAATACACAGCAGTTTACTCAAATGTATGGATCAATTGGGTCAGCTGATCGTTTGCGTTTGGACTGAACACTTTTCACTTAGTAGTGCATGACAGTGGAGTGAGTCATTCTAAAATGTGATCACCGGATGGAGATGCATCGATTTTTTCACTCCACTGACCAACTGAATTGATTGATTCACTCTCGCTTTTCAGACTACTGTTTTGTGATTGGTCGGTCGACCTCGTGGAGGCCAACGAATCGCCATTCCAGCCCAGGCATTTGGAGCGATGATAACGGACTACGTGTGCGATTTGTAGTGTTTTGGAGACTCACTCCACAGCCAACAAAGACGTCAAAAGTAGTTTTCATCAAAACCAAGGTTTTGGGTATGAGTAGGCGGTGGCTTTTCCAAACTAAAGGACAACGACTGCTGAATGGTGAACCACGAGCATGAAGTTGCGGTAGAAGTCGATTTACTGAAGGTGTTTTGAAGTTCACCTCTTGTTCTTCACTCAAAGGTTGAGACAGATGCCATGGCAACCTGAGGAGTACGGAAATTTTTGTCGCAAGGAACGTTTTATCCACTAGACCACCTTTGACCACGTTAGTTCACTGCTCCAGGTCGTCCCAAGGACATCAAGCAGTGAGGAATTTGCATAATTTCTTTACAGCGATAGTTTAAAGGAGGTCTTGGCAAGAAACAGTCGGTTCAGAATCGGATCGAATTCATTTCAACTTCAGCAATTACAGTGTTTTTCAGCTAACCGTGGGATTGTGTGAACATCACTTTGGCACACCTAACTGTGTGCCTGTCTGTAGGCAACTGCCTACTGTGTGGGAAAAACAGTGTATGCGCCCATGGATTTATGATGACTTTGCATTATCGTTCCTGACTGTAAGGCGCCAAGACCCATTAGGCCTAAAAACAAAGCTTAGATATGTGCTGACCGGGAATTGTTGATTCGTCTCAAAAGACCAGCTGAAGCTCGGGAGAGATACGATGCGAAAAGATAGTGGGAATGTTCAAAAATAGTTCCAGCTATTAGGAAGTATTCTTCGAATCAGTGAAAACTTCCATTCGGTACGGCTGACAGACAGACACCAGAATGACGTACCTTGTGTTTCGTCCGCGTTATTCTAAGGCAGCCTGCACCCCAAGGGACCAGCATTGAGTCTGCCAGACTGCCGATGGTTCCTTTAATTAGGCGACTAGGCTATTAACATTTTCGAAACCAAATCTTAGTTGTAAAAAAGACCTTGAATTTTATGTGGCCCGTTTTACGTCTTGATTGAGCAATACTCACTGGGAGTTGTTTAAACTCGAGCCGGTCAACTGTTACTACAACTCCGAAAGAGGAACTCCCACCAAGGAGACCGAGAAACGCCTCGATGCCACGTAATTGTTGGCCGTCTTCGACCTATGCCTGAAATGGGTTGGGTACACAACTGCCAACATAAAGAAAATAACTGACGAGATGATATAAAACCAAGTGCGTTAAACCAGTAGATGAGAATGGTCCACCGCAAAGAATCTAATCTGATTCGATCTACTTCAAGTCAATGGCTTTTCGAAAGACCAAAAGCTGGACACTCTCTTGAGGATGATATCAGAAATTCACGGCTTCTGGTAGAACAGTACCGCAAAGTGGCCAGCAGAAGATCCTGAGCTCACCTGAAGGTTCCTACGACAGATCAGGGTTTATGGAGCTTGCTACCGGGATTTTATCCCTACGCACAAATTTCATGTTATATCTAACTGCTGTTCCCTCTCCAGTGTCCGGCGCCAGAAAAGAACTCATCGACAAGAGTACACAACAACTTTATTCCAGACAAGCGAGTGCGTGCGATTGCAAAAGTAACAACGGCTCCGCGCTATTTAAAGGGCACTTTCTTAATACAGGTAATACAGGCAGTCTGATAGGCGTTTAGTGATCACACATCAACATCGATCGTGCGTCTATGAAATGTCTGAACGCTGATCACATTCGGTCACACTTGTATGGCGTGCATGAACACTCATCGGCCTTTGCTAAACTGATCAAATGATTGACTGGCTTGGATGCTTGCCGGCTTTCCTTTTGAGATTTTGGTGGAGTCTTAGGGCCTCAGTAGCTTCACAGCGTCCTGGGGACACGAGTGGCCGATCAATAGCGATAATCGCCCGTTTTGGGCCGTTCACGTTGGGTGAATCGCTGTTGACTGATCTCTCCCGGAGTGACAACTTTTCAGATGGAAGGCTCATGGGATGGTCCTTACTACTTATATACTACTTATAGGATGGGGTCAAAAGTGAACTCCCGTAATTTCCTCACTTTCCACAAACATCGGTGGGGGAGTTAAAACTCGACGCGATGGAGGAACTCATTTTTTCCTTCATTCTAACTCGATCTAAGTATGAAAGCCTACTGGGAACAAATCATCTTGGTCAATGTGAGTTTTTCGGGAAAAAATAACTGTCATGCTGTCGCCAGTCGAGTGACAGACAACATTTCAGACAAATTGTTTATGATAGTGAAAAAGAAAACTTCGATACTGGTTGACAAATTGAAGTTCTTTTTGGTCAGGCGGAAGTTCACAAGTCTGTCCGATCAGCCTAGAACTTTCCAGAGCGGATGAAATGTCACACATATGACAGATTGACGTGTAGCGGACAGGACGGTCGACAAAGGTAGACACACGTGGACGGGGAATCGGGACAGAACAGGTCTTCAACAACACATGAAAATAAGATTATACACAATGTTTAGAAAAGTGTGGAATTAGCTAACCAGTGAGAGGTTGTATCCTTTAGGAGTGAAACATTTTTGTGACCCATTTAACTTCCCAAAAAAGCAGGTTGAGTAAACGGTTGCATTTTCAAGTCATGGAGTTGGCAGCTGGACAAGGTCTCTGGGCTATTCTCCGTGCGATGTAAGTACCTACAAGACTTTGAACTCAAATTTGTGGTGTTTTTTGAGACGAAGATCACTGGGCCAGGTGAGTTCTCTCAATCAACCGGAAAATAGGGGGTATCCGCCTGAGAAGATCACAGACGAGCGATTCAGCTGGGTTCCAGGTCAGTCTCTCGCAAAACCAAATTAGTTTGCAAATGAGTGTATAATCGCTTATTTCGTGCAATGTGGTTTCAAGTAGAACATAATGGGTTGACGGAAACCCGGGAACTGCGCCTACCTGATGAGCCCCAAAAAGGGCGAAACCGGACGTGGGCTGTCGATGAATTTTCAGCAACCTTATGAGTAGTACACTACAAGGGTATCCGTCCAACTTAGACGTACCTGTGCTGTCTTCCAGAGTAGTGCATTCACGGATGGGGTTAACCTTTGAACCGAACGAGGAGTTGTTAGGAGACTGCCACAAGTCGGGATACTGCTTGCCTTCCAAGATGGGGTCCACATGATTGGCAAAGCTGCAACATAAGGATACAAATCGTTTGTGTTATTCAGACTGCCTTAAATAGTATCTGAAGGTGTACCCACCTCGGAGTGTTTGTGGTAGGGTAGCATTGAGTCCCTTCCTCATTCACTTTTATTCCTTTCTCCACAATTAGTCTTTCAACTAAACAACGGTTGTAAGACAGTGGAGAGCTCGAATACTGTTCGTGTGTACTGTCCTCTTCGTCGACTGGTTCCTGTTTTTAAATTGTCTTCCGCGAATTTTCGGCAGCTCTCACTTGGATCGGTCGTTTAATTCTCCCAGGAACCTATAATGTACCCCCCTTGCACAAAAGGGAATTTAAGCGTTCGGTTTGAGTTAACTATGCTGTTTCCTTCTGAAACCTTCCGGAAAATTTGAAGGTCTTTTTTTCCAATCTGAGCAACAATCTGTTGCATGTTCGCAACAGCAAAGCTCTGTGATCATTCAGCCCTCCGTCGCCAATATTTGCTAACCTCTGTACCCGTCTGATTCACACGGACGGTGTAGAAGACAGCACATGGATGTGTCTCCATCATACTGCGTGGGTCATCGCAACATATTCCAAACTCCACTCAACGTACAGCTGGGTGAACACTTTCAAGGACGTGCAATCATTGATTGTGGAATTTGAACTGGTCCTGGTTGTCATTCCAATTTACAAGCATTCTCAGGTCCTGACATGTCGAGGTTGGTCCAAACAGGACTTCACACCAATGGAAGGAGGCGAAGTGGATTTACGTGTCGGAAGTGGATCATATTTACCACGTGGAAGTAATTCGAATTCATTTCTTTGGGAAAGGTATTGTCTCTGCTCTCCTGATGTTTTCGCCTTTCGACTGGCAAACGGACCCAGATTTAGGGTTATTCTGGTGATGATCCGGTGTTTAGATAGTTCGGATGCACTGCTCGTTTGTTAGTCTGTTCGCCGAGCCTTATAGTTGGGTCACAAACGTTTCACCAATAGTTTGAGTGACATTGTCAGCGAATCTCACACCATCCCACTGCCAAGCTCGGCAAAGTGACTAACAATCGATTGGGCGTGTACGCCTGTATTGATCTTAAAATGTTGCACAGGGCCAATTCATCGATTCGTCCGCGCCATCCCAAGATTGTAACCGAAACGTGTAAACACAAGTCAGGCAATCAAATAATTCATCATTGACCTTGTTGAAAGGTCACTCTGATAACAAGCAGTTCACGACCAGTACGTTGTGAGCACGGGCTACGATAACTTTGTCATCAAAACCCTGATTTGCTGGTGAGAGCTGAAAACCCCAGAGTGTTGGAGTTAAAGCAAACTTCAAGTAGTTGCAAAACGTCTCCGTCGACTGGGGTACACCGTCTTCGAGGAGTTGAGAGCCTCTACTTCTACGTCGTTCATCAAACCTGACCTAATCGCTGTTCGAGATCGGCGTGCAACTGTAATAGACGTCAGAATAGTTTCTCGGATGGGCGTGGAGTGATAGTGTGGAATGAGAAGAAGCAGAAGTATGGTGCTGATGAATATTCCCTCGCCATCATCTCAACCCTACATGCCATCGGTTGTAATATCGACTTTTTGGTTCACCAACCGATGATCATCTCTTATCGAGGGATCTGCTTTCCTCAATCCGCTAAGGCTGTTATTGGACTGGGACTTCCAAAGATCGCAGTCAGTGACTTGTGTTTGCTCGCCATTGTGGGCTCTCTGCGTACTTATGACACTTTTATGTGTAGCACATGGCGTTGAAGATACATTTTTGTCATTTAAATCTCACACCAGACCCAGTATGACGGTCACTTTGTGTCTGATGTGCGAGTCTTGACTGTGCTAGCGCACACTGCGCCTTGAAGAGCATTCACCATTGTTTGTCCTTTCTTTGGTTGTTGGTCCTTAGACGCGTGTTCCCATACCAAAATCTTTACATACTTTGGGATTCACCTCATCAGACTGGCACTGCCCTTGGCATGATCTCGAATGAGACGTTACTCTCTTTTCTCCCATATTCTCCTGTTACTCTTTCGCATTCATCGCTTGCACTCACTTTTTATGTTTGTGACCATGCTCTTCAAAAATAAATGATAATAATAGTATGGTTAGCAACTTACGGCAAAATTGTTTCTCTCAAATTACGGCTTTGTCTTGTTATTTAACGACTTTAAATTTTGATGTGCCTTGACCGAGTGGCCTCGACATACATTTTTTAAACCTTTGACCTTCATCTAGACAGACTACATTCATCTGTAACTAACCCGTTGATTTGTATTGTCCAGGGGTGAAGTCCTTTATCAAGTAAAATTACAGTAAGAATAATAATAGTTCGGCTGTAAAACCATTTCGGTACCCAGCTCCAATGCCATCCTACCGAAGAACGATGGATAAGACATGCCTCAAAATTCCCCAAGGCCAGACGGGATCCCTGGTTTGGGTGCGGCCCATGGACCTTCCGGTCAGCAAACACCGGGCTATCTCGAGTTCAAGATACCTCTGAAGAGAGGTCACTCTCCTGAGGACTTTGTGACAGCATGGTTTTTTAGTTTTGGCTCAATCCGCTGCCCATGCAATGCCTTGGTAGTCTCCCTACCGAACAATACTGTTCCATTCTCGTTCCCCTCCAAATGCCCTTTGGTGTAGGTTGTGACAACCATGTGGTCCTCTGCACTTCAATGGGTTCGCGAAATGGTAGTGCGAAAGTGTAGCAATTGTCTTAGGTGACGTCGAGTAATGTCTGGGCAGACAGGCAAAGAGGAGGCCCCTGTCAACTTCCTGTCGGTGCCTGGATTCCACTACGCCAGAGAGTAGCACCACGGCTGTGATACTGCCAGGTCAACCAGGTTTGGACAAGAGCAGCTGAGATGTCTGGATTGGATTCAAACCACGAACCTTCCGGTGAGTGAGTTCGCACTTTGAGCTCTCGACCTATCCCCATTAGTGTTCATACTAGTTTGGTTTGGTTCCTTTGTGGCGTTGGTATATACTACAATCACATTTACGTCTCACAGGTGTACTGCATAACCCCCCTTTTTCGGTGCGCATTGAGTTAACAAAATACACTTTTTGGTACCAGGGGCTGCGGGGAAGTCCCAAATTTCGTTAGACGTTTGCTCACCTGCAAGGATCGATAGTAGCTTGATACTCAGCGCAAAATATCAGTTTTAAGCCTTGAATACTTTCATCGAGGGACATTTGCCAGTCAGGCTTTAAGCTGATTGGCTTCACACAGCACCATCTGAACTGCAGTCACCGTGATCTTCCATGGCTTTTGGTCGTGTACAGATGAGAGTGTGTCAGCAACCACCCTGTCTTAATGTCCTCCTTTCCCCCCCAAAAAAAACCCAGCAGAAACGTTTCTCAGGAAACCATGGGAAACACTGGAGGTAATGCATTTCTACCGAACCGAACGCAGTCCGTGGAACAAAGGGGCCATTATCGACATATGTTGCGTTATCTCAGTCGGGCCATCCACGAACGAACGGACAGGCGGTGATTGTGTGGTCTCCAGGGTCCGCAGCACAGATACCTGTGAAACGTAAACATATGTTCCCTTGTTTGTGTTCGCCTGTGTGAGTTTTTGCAATTCACTCTGTAAACAACACCGTTTAAACCTCGTCGATGTGTGGTATGCTACGTTTCGATCTAGTCTTTCGTTACTGATCACCCATGGAAGGTGGTGTCTTAACGTCAGGTGAAAGCAGAAAGGTATTCGGACTGCTTGATGGTTGATGTAGTTGGCTGCTCAGAAACTGCCTGCACTGCAACTGACAAGTAATCAGCAAAATAAGCAAACATCCTCTGTTTTTTCATGTTATTCCTCAGAGAGGTTGATAACGTCTACTTCGCGGTGAAACTTGCCCTGTCGCAAAACAGATCACCTGATCAGTAGTACAGGTAAAATATTAAAGTTCGTATGAGTTGGAATGAGGAGTAGTCAAGATGCCACAAAATTGGGTGGGACAGAAAGTATCAATTAGTGACACGGGAATTTTGTTAAGCCAAGCTGTGCTGAAAAGCTGTTCCATGAGCAGTGCACTTTTTTTTGCGAAATTTCAATATAGTCTCGAACACATCACCTGCCGGCCTCGAACGGCTGATCAGTCGCGCGTGGACAGGACACAGTGTCACGTGATCACGTGTTCACTGGCTATTCCCGTATTGCCAAAAATAGACTTTTGCTCATTTTTGTTTGACAGAGACACTTGGTACAGATGATGAAAGTCGAATCTAACTAGACCAGTGAATCTTCGTACTAGAACCGGTTTAAAATGAATGTAGTAGACCTATTGGTGTTCTCTATTGTCCGTAAGTCTTAATAGAAGAACCATTTGCAGCCGTTAAGGTGAAAGAAGAAGGAGTGCAGCAATTAAAGGGATAATACTGATGTCAGCTCCGGTGTCTACAAGAAAATGAAGACCAGAAGTCTTGTCTACAACTGTCAGACGACGAGTTGTATGAGCGGGGCCTTGAACTTTACTCGTCTCTATTGTTCGGCCCGTGCGTTTTCCGATAATGTAGTAGACCTTTGCTTCTCCCGTGGGATGCACGAGGATAATGGATTTCTCTGTTCTGAGTGCTCCCTAAATGCTGTAGAGGTCGAGATGGACAGAGGGTCCCGTCAGTTGAAACACGTGGAGATGAAAAAATGACCACGTTGGACAGTGTAGAGTGTTAGGCGACCAAAGTCATCATAGTGGCTGAGTGAATGGTCGGAAAGCGTTTATTACGACAGAATAAATTTTCTTTCAATTCTGGTGAGCAAAAGACGTCAGATACAAACTTTACTACTTCGATTATCTATGTCAGTTACAGCTACTAGTGACCTGATTACGTTTTAGTACATGAGTAAACGACATCGAGGACGTGAGACCTCTCACACAATCTGGGGACAAAGGCATGGCTTAAAAAAGTGCCAATATCTTCTTATTAGGAGAACCAGCTCCGAACGTAGAGGAGCCACATAACAGCCAATGGAATAACTGTTTCGTTGAGGGACAGATTTCATTGGTTGTTCTTCA